AGACATCATCCGTCCAGATGTGCTTTGGGTTGACCGTCTATGGACGCTTGCAGCTGTGTTTTGTGTAACAGTCTCCTCACCAATCCAAGCCTGCGTCTCCTCTCTCCACTTTACACCCCCCCTCTTTTCTTCTCTCCGATCACACAAGTGGGTGACAGATGTGAGCGACTGTGGAGAGCACACAGACACCCAATGTTCTGCTGCCAGCCGCCGCTGCTCCTGCAGGCGGCGAGTGTATGTGTGTTTTTTCAACGCGCAGGCTTGTAAGGCTTCATGCAGTGCTGTTTCTGTCTGTGTTTGTCTTTGCCGTTCCTCTGTGGGGGCCTCAATTTAGGTGCCAATACGCGTTATTTCATACTAGCAAGTGCAACCTTTAATCTCGCTCCTGTGGGACTCGTCTCAGCTGGAGAGTTGATGCAGATACACCTTTAGAAACACACACACACTTTCGGTAAAGACAGACATGTTTCTGCTACTGAGACATTGAATGTCTCTCTAACACACACTGGCTCATACACACACATTTCCGATTACTTGGAGTGTAATGCAATCACCTGAGCTCTCCATGCTTCCTAACCCAATAAAGCTGACAGGCTGCAACACACACACGCACACAAACATCCTCCGGAGTGACCGGTAATAATTCAGCATCTATTTCATTTCACCCTTTCTTTTTATACTGAGCAGCAGCTAAGAGATGCAGCTCCTGTTGTAGTTGGTTGTGAGCGTTTGGGGTCTGATTGAAGCTGGTAGATGGAGAAAGATGGAGCAGGTTAAAAAAAACCTGTTTATTACATTATTAAAGGGATTGTTTATGGTTTCTGATATACAGTTTTGTTTAAAGGTTAGTTGTAGTTGAGATTACTAAGTCTTTCTCAGATTTTTGGGTTCCAAGATTGAAGCTAGCTGCTATCTTGGGCGAGGCCTAACTTAACTTGTACTGCCTGAAATTATTTTATTTACATATCATCATTACTGTTAACATTTTTGTATTATGTGCATTTCTTCCCCAAGTCGTCCGTCTTTGTCAAAGCTGGCAGCTCCGCACAAATCATTTCCTAGGAGGAAAAGACACACCGAAGGAACTGGAACATCGAAAAAATCAATAAAAAGATAGAGGCCCACAAATCAGTAACTTTTGGACGTCGTCCAGTTTTTGTTTCATCTTTGACCTGCTGATGCCTTATTTTCGCCAATTTCGGATTTCTTCTTAAGTAGTTATAACATTAAAACAAACTACCTCTTTTAAGAAGGTTTTGTCTTTTAAAACCCTGCTATATTTGCAGTATGGCCTCTATGAAATGATCCAAGAACCACAGGAACCAGGTGAAAGTTAGAACTTATAGTCTAAAATGACTGCAGGCTCCAGCTAAGAAGGGTTTTCAAGGAGTGGAGAGAATGTTTTGTAAAATTGCTGCGGAAATGTTTTGTTTTCATCGCATATTGATAATTAGCAGGCTTAGCCCGTTTGGCAGTCCAACGTGTTCTGTAACGGGACTCCTCTTGAAGTGTGGCTCTTTCTCACTCTTTTTCACCCTAAATGAACAAAAGACATGTCTCAATATGTCGTAGAAATTTCACCTTCTAATATATCTGAGCCTTTTCATCCACACTTATACTGAAGATATGTAAATTAGAGTCTTCTTCCTTCAGTAACATCCTTCACACTGAAGAGCGTTGCTGCTACTAAGGGTTTTGTAGGTGATGTTCTCTGTAGGTGTGTCACCCAGGAAGTTTGTTGGTTTCAGATTATCCAACCTCCAATTCCTAGGTGAAATCATCATCGGTGTTGATGTCATCGAGACAATTAAAAAGTGTTTGCATGAAGAGTTTTGATGTTTTGGGGACTGGAGTTGCTTTTTGGTCGTGAACCTTTTGGGATTATCCGTTAGCTTCAGCACCAGCTAATCTGTGTTTGTGGTAAATAAAGATACTGAGAGAGATATCATAAGCGAATGTCTGTGAAGCTAATTTTGGAGAGATAATGGAGGACTCTGATCGGAGTATAGCTCTGTGTTTGTATGCATGCTGTGAGAAATTTGTTGGGTCTGCCCAGCGCTACGAAGGGTGACCAGGCACGGCGGCCATAACCGGTCCTCCAAGCGCCATCTGCTCCTCGCCGCAGCTACTGTTGCCAGGGTACCTGCTCTTCTCTCCTCCCTTCCATGGCTCATCACCTCCAAGCTCACTCTTGATTTTTCTCTCTAAACCAAATCAGCACTCAGTCTCCTGCCTCCTTCCCCATGGAGATTCATTTTCTCTTTTCCTGTCCAATCAGGGAGATGCATTACTTCCTCTAAAATCTTTTATTCTTTATGTCCATCTTTTCTGTTTAATCCTTATTTGTGTGGACATGATGCGGGGGCTCCCTCTGCTCAGAGGTGGAAATCTGAAGAGAGAGAAGAGAAAAGAGTTTGGAGGAGATGTTTAGAGAAAAGGGAAGAAAAGAGGGAGGATGAGATGGGGAGAGAGGGACAGATCGTAGATCAGAACCGTCATGATTGAGCCATCTGCTGAGAGGAGGCCACTGAGACTCTCTCTCCCACACATAAACTGACATACACACACACATATCCATGAGATTAAAGATCACTACTGCCACCTGTTGGTAGATTCCTAACACTGCATCCTCTGCAGGCAATCATCTGACTGCTCTGCTTCCATCAAGGCACAAACAAGCAGAGATGAAACACGTATCTGTGATCATCGATCAGTCTGGTCTGCTTGTCTGTTAAGCTGGTTTTGAGCAGCCGACCCTGTTTGCTCCACCGGGTGTTTTTGCGCTCTAAAATACGGGCTTTACCTGCACCTTCCTCCTTTCTAAGAAGAACAGTCTCAACGCAGATTATGGGGCTTTGGCTCTTTCAGAATACCCCGGGTCTGGTTATATTTTAGAGAATTTAACTGAGATTTTGATTTGGCTCCGTAATCCCATTTTTGCTGTCTCTTGCTTGTCTGCAGGTAAATGTGATTTGCTGTACACAGTCCGATGCCCTGCAATGTTGCACTTTTATGTCTGCAAACATTTTCTCATTGGCCCTTGAATATTCCCTCATGTTTCCATCTTCCCATTTTCAATTGCTGGCATGCTTAAACGATGTCCACTCTTGCTCAGCTGTCTAACCTTTAATAGACCCATAAACGCTGCGCTCCCATTGGCCAGAGAAGGCCATTTCATCCTATTAGAGATTAGCATACGGCCGAGTGGAGAGGGAAGTGCTCTTTATATGATAATGAGGAGATAATGTATGCAGAGAGGACAAACCAGCGCCCCACTGGGAAGACTCAGAGTGGCCCATGTCTGTCTTTACGTCTGTCGGTCTCTTTGTGAGCTGAAAACAGCCATACACAGATGAGTTAAGCTGCACCGAATATTTTTCTCCCATCCGCCTGATTCCCGTTATGTCACAATAAAGAGCAGTCTGTGAGGGACATTGCATCATGAAGCGATGAGATGCTAATAGTGCTGATTTTGTTTTGTCTTTAAGTACAAAAAACCCAACAATATTATTCAAGAAATTGTACTTGTTTAGAATAAATAGGATGTCCCATTTCTCTGGCTCAGCATGGAGGAAAATGCAGCGCTGTAGAGGAATAGATCTCTGCCTATTTGCAAAGTTGTTCTCTTGTTCTGCACCTATTCCCCAAGCGGCTGAACCAATTGCATTTCAGTTAACTCTTCTTTTAAAAATATTTAACACTGTTTTCTACATATTATCCAATTACAAGTTAAGGCTTATGAAATGTGATAGATGAAACTGAGCTTTTGGAGTCTTTCCAGAAATTATATATATTTTTTTGTTTGTTTTCAATTATTTGAATTGTTAAAGATCTGAAAATGTTATTTATGCTTTTATTACCTTGCATTTAAACTCCTGAAAAGTACATATTGCCAGAAGCCAATAGATGCATTAGCCTCAATGCAGAAAAGTTTCAAACCAATGAAATGCAGTGACATGCATGACGTCCACCAGAAGCAGGCTGAAGCAAAACAAACATGGCTGTCCTGATGGACGTACTTGTTAGCTGGAATAGCAGAAAGGTGTTTGGTGCCTTAGTAGATGGGAAAAAGGTTTGCACGTTGCTTCTGACTGGATTTGATTTATCATTTAACTCCGCTAGTACTGAAACAAGTCAAGAATGTGACACTTTACAGCTGCTGCTACTGCTGCTGCAATTGGCTAAAACCTTAAAATTGGAGGCATTTGGTTATTTATCCAATCAGCCCAGAGAGTTGTACTGAATGTCCCCCCCTTTTGCAAACACTTTCCACAGGAGCCTTTCCAGATGGACGCTGTGTAGAATTCAAACTGAACTACACACCTTCTTTCCTTAGATGTTTAGATTAAACCAGCTTCACCTCTGTTTTCAGTTTGTTTTGACTGATCTTTAGAATAAATGAAGATCAGAGAAGACTGATCAACCAGTCAGGATGATCCAAGAATCCATCCTAATTATGAAGGCAATCAGGCTTTTGCAGCAGCTGCCCCAAAGTTATTGAATAAATTTGTAGTGGTGCAATACCCCTACCACATTGAGATTGAAAGCTCCACTGAAAGCTTGTCTTCTTTCATGGTTTTTAAACCCTATTAAAGCGTCTGTGGTACTATGTTATGCATAACTAAATAAATCTGTGTTCAAGGCACATTGTCAGTGATTGAGCCTTGCTTGACCTTTCGTGGCAGTAAAATGTACAATATTGTCATATTTTATGTCACTTACATTGAGATTTAATTAAAAAGATAATTACTGAAGGTTTAGTACAAGGGATTTTTAGAGAGATTTTAACATTTGATCATTTTAGACTGTATAGAATGAAAACTCAGAATGAGTAAGGAGTGTTAGAAAAACTTCTATCCTTTATTATTATCAAACACAAAAAATCCTGGTGATCAATAGTTGATAATAAGACTCAGAGCTACTGTAACATCTGTAAACTATAGTGCTAATCGGCGTCCTGTTGTCTCTCTCTGACCTGCTGCTTTCTGTTTTTGTTTCAGGAGCAAGGTGTGGTGGGAATGTCTCGACCACCTGGCGCAATCCCCCCTCCTCACCCTCCTGGAGGCGTCGCCTCTGGTGTTGGCCCCAGCCAGGGGTCAGGTCCACCTCCGGGCTACGCGAGCAACCACCAGCAGGCGACCATGAGGAAGCAGATGATGGCAATGGAGCATGAGAAGAGGGCGCAGATCCACATGATGGAGCAGCAGAAGATCCTCCGGGAACAGCGGATTCTGGCCGAACAGGTGATGGAAGGACCGTGCTATAGAGCTGCTCTTCTGCGCCGTCATTGCTTCTATCTCACTTCCAGATGTCCACCTCCATCGGCAGCAGCTAAACTCTCTGCCGTTCCTTACTGAAGTCAGGTTGCATGTATAATTACACACACCCAGCCCTCTCCTCGCCGTTTCCTTTTCATCTCTATAATGTGTGGTTTTTTTGGCCCACATGCCTCCTGCTGTGATAATGTGGGGTTTCCTTTTTATTTCTCCCTCTGTGAGGGGAATCAAGTGTTAAAGAGTTCAGAACTATGAAGTTGCCACCCACCATGTTGCTTTTAATTGGATCTGCAAAAACACACACACACAAACACAGCAGTCAGAAGTGAAGGCTCATGCTGCTGGGGTCTGACTGGATATTATACACTCATTAAAAATAGCACTTATGATACCTAATGTATACTGAAAGGAAAATAATGTAGGATTTTATATATTTTAAAAGTCTGTTGGGGTTTGTCTCGGTCAGCTTTCCACTCCTGGAGAATGAAATGTTCCCACCTTCCTTTTTGCAAAACAGCTCAAGCTCAATCGGGATGGATGGCGAGCACTTATTGACAGGTCTTCATGTAGTCTAGATTGGTTGAGGTAAACTTAAAGGTGACCTCTTATTGCCTTATTTCTTTTCTTTTATCCACAGAGGACAGATTTGTGGAGTATATAAAAAATATTGGTGCTTTCCACAGAATCTTTTTACCTTGCAAGACACAAGATTTGTGAATTCACAACCTCCAAAAAATACATCTCTCCAGGAGCCAGCAGATGCAGTCAGCTTGATACAGAACTGTTTCTGACCAATGGAACGCAGTGGCATGTATGACATCAACACGTCAAGCAGAGGCTGAAGGAAAGCAAACATGGCTGCACAGGTTTTAGCTGGCATACCCTCCATTTCTTTTTGAACAACGAGCAAAAGGCTCTGTGGATGGAAAGATGTTTGCACCTTCACCTGACCCTATTTGATAATAGTTTGATTTATCAGTTAACTTAGCTAGTTGTGAAACAAATCAAGCTGCTACTGCTGCTGTGATTGGCTGACAACTCAACATGTGAGGCAGGTATAAATATGTAACTACCGTTTGAGAACACTTTCTACATGAAGCTTCCCAGATTGATATGTGTAGTTCAATCTGAATTTTACACAGTATCAACCTGGTTTATACCAGATTAAGGGTCTCCCAACTAAACCATGTATCTCTGCATATCGTCTAGATTTACCATTGCTCTGTGGACATCCATATTCTGACATTATCCATTTTTCACAAGAGGGATTGAACATTGCACTGGGGGAAGTTTAGATATTGTTTTAAAACCTGCCACTTTTACTCTATTCTGTGTTTTAAAGTCCTCAAAGAAGCTAGAAGCTAGACAACCATTTCTCTCAAATGTTTTGAGCTTTGTGTTGGTATACATCCTAAAATCCCATAAAATGGATGGAAATTTGTTCTGTAATGGAGTAAAATAGGAAAATGAATGAATGGTCAATTATTTTTCTGATTCAGCCTTTTTTCTTTAGTGACAACTTCACCACCATCGGTGTACATCTAGCAGTACCACCACCTGTCTCCAACAGGTGGAACATCTGTCTGAAACAGTAACACCTTCTGTTTATACACTATTCAACATCTGTAGGGTTCTTACTGTACTCACATCTGTGTATACTGTATCAAACATCTGTTTTACCTCAGAGATGAGTCAGACCCTTACAAAGCTTGAAGTTTCTCTTTGCTTTACCAAAGAACCAACAAACATAATCTCTTTTAAGCATCTGCCCTCCGTTTACCTTAACTGCATTATCTGTTGCAAGCATCTCCCTAACCTACACTGCAACCACATCTGTTTCAGTTATCCTGTCCTGAACACCAGGATCAGCATAGCTGAGGGACTGGCTCATCTCTAGTTACAACTGTTTAGGTCATATTGCTCAATTCAAATGTTTATGATGTCATTTGGAACCGTTTTTACTTTTTGCAATTCAGACATTTAAAGGGCAATGTATTGAGTGAAAATCTTGAATACATTTTTGTTATTTTTGCACTCTGCCTCTGTTCCTGCATGTAAACACTCTAAGACCATCCAAACAGGTCTCATCAGAGCAGGTTTTAAACTCATTAGATGACTCAATCAGAACCCCGACGTGAATTTGACAGAGGAACCTAAACATCAGGGGGATGCCAACAAGGCCTCCCAAACTTTAAAGACTTGGATTTCTTCACAAACGATAGATGCGCACTCATAATATTTTGTGTGTTTGTGTGTCTTAGCTCCAGCAGCAGCAGCATCTCCCTAGACAGATGGGCCAGGGCCAGAGGAATCCATATCCCCAAGTCAGTCAGTACCAAGGTGAGAATCACAAAATACCTCCATTCATTTTATCTGCAGGGATCCATTAAAAGGTAGCAGGCAGGCAACCTGTCTGAAACACAAGGCAGGATGCAAAGACAAGTACTGTACCTTCCAAAGATAATCATGGTCTTTGAATTAGTTCACATTTCGCAGGGTTGCAGAAAAGTTGTGCATTATTGTGTCATGGAGGGGAAAAGATACACGTAAACCTTTGCATACAGCTACCTTCATAAGTTACTGTACACTTTATTCTCATCTAGTTGTTCTAAAAGAGGGACTGAACGAAGCTGTAGAGACAGTGACGGCTGATGCGCCCTTAAACAGAGGAAGCTTAATGGTGTTAATTAAATCCAAGCGTTATGTATTGCAGTAACAAATGTTGGAGCACATCAAACACATTATTACAACGGGTGAAAATAGTTGTTTTGAAGCTCTCTGATATAATTAACTCCAGAAACCACGACAAGAGTTCAGCAGATGATGACTGTTTTGACTGAATGATCCCTTTTCCCTGCTCCATAGACCCCCTAAGAGGTTTAGCCTCACAGGAAGGGACATCTTTTGGTGCTTTATCCAATCAGGGCTCTACTTTCTCGCTGCTTATCTCAATATACTGAGGATCCAAACTCAACAGGGATTTCTAATAGAGGCTGACAAGCACAATCCGGCTGCTTCAGAGCAGAGAGGAGATTGCGCCTGAGAGTGGTATAAACAGCTGAATAATACCTAACTTAATCAATAAATCAGGTGCATTTTAGCGCATATTTAATGCAGTTTAATGACTACATTTATAAAGTTTGACAATGCATTTTTACCATTAATTTTAAGAAATTTACAGGGGAGGTTTAGCCTCCCTAGTATCCAATGAGAAATTTCCACTGCATAGAAAGTCCCATTCGCAGTTTGGCACAGACCATACAGGAGATAGTGAAGGTTCATGGACAACATGCACAGTGATAATGAGACAGGAAACTATCTACCAAACTACACCTTGAATACTCTTTGCCTATAATGAGGTATGGTGATGGCAGCACCATTCTGTGGGGATGCTTTTTTTTTTTTCAGTAGATGGAGATGGAAGTAAAGACAATCCCCATCAGAGAAAACCTGCTGTAGGCTATTAAAGATCTGGATGAAAGAGTTTAACAGACTTTTTCCCAGGTGTTCATCATCCAGTCTGACTGAGTTTGGGTATTTTATAAAGTAAAATTGGCAAAGATCTCAATATGTAGATGTGCAACGCTGAAGGAGAAACTGTTTGCAGTTGTAATTACAGTAAATGGTGATTCTAAAAGAGGTAACAGCTCAACAGGTCAGAATTCATATGCCCACCGTGCTATTTTTTGAGTATTATAAACTGAATAAAGCTGTTTCAAAAGCTCCCTCAGTTCAAACATTCCCATTTAGCCCATTCCTGTCCCTTTTATCTGCCTCAGTCAGATATGTATCAGTCATCTCTCAGAGTTGCTCTTTCTCCTCTCTTTTGCCTCATCCTCTCTGTGGGAAAAAAACACTACCTGATCTGCCTGTTACCAAGGCAACTTGTCTGTCCTGGATCCCCCAAAGTTCCAGTGGGGTCAATGAGATGGATGAGATGAGGGAAGACTGACTAGAAGGGAAGAAAGAGGGGGACTGGCGGCGAGAGGTAGATGGTACTAGTAGGGGGAGGGGGAGGTTGGGAACGAGGAATGGGTGAGAGTCTGGGAAGATGGAGAGATGGAGAGATGGACGGAGTCAAGTCTCAAGCCATTTATAGCCATTAGTGTTTCTGCAAGTCTAGGAGATAAGGTAGAGAGGAAGAGGATTTCAAGATGAAACTGTTGCAGATTGATTGTCAAACCAAAGTACAAAATGTTCAAAATGTGATAATATTGAGTGTATAGTAAATGCTGGACTTTAGTTCAGCTACTTGAAAAGGCTTTTTAAAGTGTTTTAATCTCGACCTTTGGTTTTGATAAAGGGGATTCAGGCCAACATCTGTTTTTTTTAATGCTGAAATGAAGTTAATGACTTGACCACATTTTTTAGCTCATAGACATTGCCTTTTTATGCTTCATTAAACAAGTGTCACTAAATATAATTTGCAGGTGAATGGACCCTAAGGACATGTGCTCAAATAATTAGCTAACACTTTCTGCAATCTATGCTTGGCTATAACAATAACTTTACAACATATTGGACCGCCCTTAGTTAGGGTCTGTGTTCAAGCAAAGACTTCGTTTATATAACAATGTCTTTATCTCGTCTTCTTAATTTGAATCATCCAGCTTAACATTGGTCATCAGCAGGCAGTCTGCTGACTTGGATGATCCACTTTTGTGTTAACAAAAGACTTCAGCAAAGATCTGTCTGGATGGAATGGGAAAAAAGTAATGGAGGACAGTTCCCAGTCTTCCTTTTGGTTATCTTGTTCAGGCTTTATACCAATACAGTTAAAAAGCAAAAAAAAAAAAAACATTTTTAGAAGGTTTATATGCTAAATTTTCTGGCAAAATTTCACCAACTTCCAAGGTGGGCGGAAGGCGTGTAATATCTGGAGATTAGGGACTCCAGAACTAGCTTATTCTCCTTTAAAGGGTTTTTCGCCCCTATATGCAGTACGGGTAGAGAAAGCTAAGTCGTGTTCAATTCAGTTTATTTATATAGCGCCGATTCACAGCACGTCATGTTTAGGCACTTTACAAAGGCTTTCGAGGAAACCAGCTGATGGAATCAATACGCTCATTGTGGATGAGCATGTGGCAACAGTCGACATTTACTTGTTTTTTAGTGTTGACTCTACAGCAATCCCTCGTCTCAATAATACATGAAGCGACAGTTGGAGAGGAAAAACTCAATCTTAACAGGAAGAAACCTTCAGTAGAGCATGGCTCTGTGTGAGCGGCCATCTGCTGAGGCAGACTGGGATTCAAGGAGGCATAAGCAGACTTAAAAAATGTACACGGAGGACATTAAATTTAATGATAAACTAAATAAAAAGAAATGTGGAAAAGGACTTTGGTAGATTCTGGTGTAGATATCCTGTAGGGCTTATACTGTAGACCTGACCCGAAACAGTTGATGGCTGCTTTGATCACTTTACAGGGGTTTATTGGCCTGGTCAGTACTACTTTGAAAAAAAAATTTTATGTTCATGCTAACGGAAACTATTCTGATCCTAAGTACAAGCTTTCTTGTACATTTTTTATACGTCTCTGCATCAACAAACATGGATCCAATCATTACAATACCTCCTCAACAGCCATGAAGGGCTGTGGAGGCCTTTATATCACCCTTTGATTTAGGTCACCTGTTTAGAGGCAGGAAAACATCTCAACATGCATGAACGTCCCTGTTGTAGAAGGTTTTAAAAAGGTTTAGAAAATATTCTAAACCGCCTCAGATTATTTATTATGTTTTAAAGCTACTTGAACCCTGGCATTAAGATCAGACCTGGAGAGATTATCTTTAATGTGAATTCTAAGGTATTTCATATGTACGTTTTATTTTTTTCCATGTTGTAACACTTGCTTAATTTGTATTCTTAGGTCCTCCTCAAGACCTGGCATCCAGGAGCCAGTCACTCCAAAACATGCGGAACCCTCGTCTCCTACAGCAGCAGCACGGCCAGCCTCAGATGGTCCAAATGAACACTGTTCAGGGTCAAGGAGGACCTGTGGGACCTCAAACTGACATGGGACTACCCTATGGCACCCAGGGGTCCAATCAGGGTGCCCTGTATGGCCTCAATCCTACAATGAGCCAAATGATCCACCAGCAGCAGCACCAGAACCAAAGCGTCCAAGCCTCCATGGGTCTTCCACCACAGCACAACCCTGCTGGAGGACCTCCCCGGCAGGCAGGGGCAGGTCCTGGACTCGGAGGTATTCCTGGGGGCCCCGGGACTAGTGGAGCTGGAGGGTACGCAAGCCAAGGGATGATGATGAACTCCATTGGCCAGCAGCCACTCAAAGGCCCTGCCAAGGTTCAGTCTCAGAGACTTCAAAGCATGCTGGGAGGTGGAGGAGGTGGAGCAGGGATGGGGGCTGGCGGCTGGCCGCAGCAGCAAGGACAAGGCCTGCAGGCCATGGGGGGAGGAGTAGGAAGGACTACAGGAGGAGCTGGAGGAGATATGGTGGGCTTCAGCTCCTCCCAAGGTTATGGTATGCAGCCAGGTCAGCCACCACGGATGACCAAACAACATTTTCCAGGTGCCGGACAGGCTGGCCAGGGGATGGACCCCAGGGTGGGCAACCCAGCTGCAAGTATGGGTGGCCCAATGATGGGCCCTCACATAGGGAATCAGCCAAGGACCAATCAGCCCCGACCCATGGTCATGAACCAGGGCATGAACCAAGGAATGATGGCTCAGGGGATGTCTGGAATGGGGGCTTTTGGGCCGGGTCCAGGAGGCCCAGGCATAGGGGGAGGAGGAGGTGGACCCTACGGACCAGGGGGCGTTTCAGTTGGTGGTCAGCCACAGGGCTACCAAAGGACAGCCAATCAGGACATGTCATCCTATGGGTACGGGGGTGGGCCTTCAGGAGGAGGAGCCTTTGGCCTGGGTGATGGATCGGGGGCAGAGCTGGACTCAGGTGATGGGTGGATGGACGAGCTTTTCCAGAACCAATAGCCAATGGGGAAGGTTGTTTGAAAGAACTGATCAATTGGACAAAACCTGAGAAAGTCCATCATCAAGGATGACACCACATTGACTGGCATGTTTTGTTTTGTAAAACATGAGAAAGATTATAAATAAGTTCTGGTATTCTTATGTTTCCTGTGTGTTTGGGTGTGTGTATGTGTGTGAAATGGAAGGAGCTCTCACATGTCTTGTGCATATTATTGAGAAAACAATATTTAGAAGGTGTGTTTTTATTTCTTTCTCCCCCTGGAGTCAATCTTCCTTATGTTCCAGTGTTTCAAAGCGATTCCCGTTTACATCACAGAGCTCTGAGCACAAGCTCGTTCCAAACTGTAGAATGATGAGAAGGAAGGAAATATCGTCAAGGCGACAATTTGTGTGTGTTTATGCGCCACCTAGCTCAGTGCTTTTGATCTTTCAACTCTCTGCTCTCATTGCCTCCATATATATATACATACTCACATCTGAGCCTGTTTTCCCCGACTTTCTCTCCGGGGACTCATCTGTTGCTCTCAGCACTTCTTTATCTGTTTAAATGTGCAAAACACAACAGATGATGTTCCACTATTGTGCAAAAACTTAAATCTTCTGGCCCATTATGCTTTTTGCTAGGTCACCCACCCATATATTTTTCCCTTTACGGGGCAGGGGGGTTTCATTTCTTGCGCTGTGTGATGGTTTCAGAGTGAAGAAAAGACAAAGGCAGGGGACACAGCAGTAAGAGAGTGGGACAGGACCGACGGGTACAGCACAGCAAACAAACGGCTAACGACAGGAACAGGTCTGTGGGAGACGAGCCCCCACCTCATACGTAAGCTGTAAAGATTGCTGGGCACTGAATGTACTCAAACACCACAAGTGACTTCCTTGTTTTAAGGGGAATTCGTAGAGAAGCCCACCTACAGTGCCTTGCAAAACTTCTTCAGCTGTTTCACTTTTTGTCATTTTACAGCCGCTAACCTCGATTTGCTTTGGGGGATTGTTATATATCTAATCAACACAAGGCAGACATGGGCAATGTGGAGTCAACAAGTCATCTCCATGTCATGTATTTGTTCTACCCAGCCACTGCAGCAGGTGAGTCCAATCTTCACCGTGAATTTACCTGTGCAGATTGGACTCACCTGGTTAATTGGCTGGGTAGAACAAATACATGACATGGAGATGACTTGTTGACTCCACATTGCCCATGTCTGACACAAGGTCATGCATATTTGGAAGGTGGGAGGAAAAATAGCGTTCCATTGTGTTCCTCCTGAGCATAGCCTTTATAAAGACATGTTTGCTGTGTCTTATTTGTGACGACATTCTAACCGTACTCCATACGATTATAGATCTGCCATTAAGGTCAGATTCATAGAGCACATAGTTAATAGTCCATGTGCTTCTGTAAACTGTCTGCTGTGTATCTTGGTCTTTTTAATGCTCTCTTTTTTACTAACGTCCTCTAATAAACCTCTGAAGTCTTTACAGAACATTTTGATTCATACTGAGATTGAATCACACATATTAACTCTTAATATATCTGTGAAGATTCTCTGTCATCCAGGTCATGGTAAGTTTGACCAGGTTCAGTCTAGGCAGATGGACGTAAAGTTTTCTAGAAGACAATTTCCCTCTCATCCAAGAGGCTTCCTCAGTTGTAACTAGTAGTGAGGAGCACTGATATTAATATACTGTAGGTTTAACAAAGACTTAGTGGGGACAAGAAAATGCTGACGAAGGAGGTCATGAAGGTGTGAATCCCTTGGCCAATCCAGTAGGATGGATCAAAGCCACCTTTTGTGCCCCCTGTTTCTTTGTTAGGTGCTTTGCTGGGCCATCACAGTAAGTCCAAGTAGATAAAACTCAAGTTTGGGGGTTTTAATGTGAAAAAAAAGTGAAAAAGCTGAAGGGGTCTGAATACCTTTGCAAGGCAGTGTTGTTCTGTTGGTTTGTTCCGTAGCCTCTGTGTATCCATCCCTTCATCACAGCCCAAACCTTCCATCAGTCCTGCTTTACGCTTTAACTGAAACCGTGCTGTACTTCAACACTACTGTGAAAAATACAAGCTGCCCTGTTTTAGGTCATAAACCACTGCTGGAAGGCTGATTTTGGCCTTCCAGGCAAGCGGTGTCTGGCTGTAGATTTGATCAAAGGCTCCATTTCTCTGTAGGTAACATCATTTCATCAAGCTGTCGCATTTTTAGCCCTAAAACGTAAACATAAGAATATACGATAGGTTTTTTTATTCCTGTGGTTCTTGTCAACTTGTTGCATCTCTAAATGTTTTGTATTATTCAGTAAGGACTAAAGTGTCTGTTTTTAGGACAATGATGTAACCTGCAAAACCAAAAAGCCTTCTGTTCTCATGGTTGTATTAAAATCCAGCCCTTTAATAGAACTCGGTCCTGTAAGCGTTCGCTAATGAGGCTCTACGTTTTCATTTGTTTCGTCACACGGACAGCTGTGTGGGGTTGTAGCACTTGGCCAGATTTTATCAAGGAAAAGACGGTTGAATATTTTAGACCCCGCATCAGCGCCGAAGCTCCAATGTTGTCGGGTTTGCTCTCCGAGGGGCTGGGGTGGCTTTCATGCTTCCAGAACTCCAAAGGGCATCAAGGCAGGCTGGGACCAGAGTTCCACTCCGATGTGGACGGATGAAAGGTGTTTGAACGTCCGACGTGTCTGTCTTGTCCTTTTCAAAGTGAGAGCTTGGAGGTCTGTTTTGGAAATCCTTTTCAGACAGAGAACGGAAGCTTCCTCCAAATATCACAATACCGGGACCAAGTCTGTAGACAACATTTTAACAAATAATTTTGTTATTTTTGTTTGTTGTTTTTTTTTACTGGTGCTGACATATATATGTGATTATGAGAAAAAAGTATATAAAAGATAATTGCTATTTGTAAATATGTTTTTACAAGTTTAAATACATCAAATATTACAGTCTCTACTCTGTAAAGAATTTACTGTTTGTTGGAAAATAGAGAAGTATTTTTATTTTTGTTTTTCGGTTTCACTTTTAACCCATCTGAGCTATGCCATTGCACTTCAGACAATGTCTTACTACTAATTTGTATTGTAAACCTGCTCTCTTTTTTTGGGTTTTTCTTTTTTTTTTAGGTTGAAATTTTGTTCTTAAGCAGTGCTTACTTTTCTTATCCTGTACAGAACAATGAAATGTTAACAAAAGAGAATTACAGAAAAAAAATTTGCTTTTTTTTTTTTTTCAAAAAGATACAATAAAGAGAGAATGTTCTCGCTGGTCATATTAAACTCTGTTTGTTGGGTTTTTATTATGTTTAACTCAACCAGATGTATAAAAGAACTTTTTCATGAAAAATACCAACAAAATAGGGCCGCGCTGTGCGGCAGTGGGTAAGGGTGTTGCTTGTCAGCAAGAACGTTCTGGATTCGATTCCCGTCTCGGGGTCTTTCTGCATGTAGGTTGCATGTTCTCCCTGTGCATGTGTGGTTTCTCTCTGGGTACACTGGCCTCCTCCCACAGTCCAAAAATATGAATGTTAGGTTAATTAGCTTCTTTAAATTGTCCTTAATATGTTAAATTGGTGTGTGTGTGCATGGTTGTGTGTCTCTATGTTGCCCTCCAACAGACACAGCCTATCCATGGCATATCCCGCCTCTCACCTGTAGACTGCAGGAGGAAAGGACTAAGCGGGATAATTTACAAAGTTGATTTGGGGCTTTACTGCTCTTTAAATCAGGGGTTCCCAAAATGGGGGTCCAAAACCTCTGAGGGATCATGGGACACCAAATGGGGGGTCATAAAGTGGTTTATGGTTTTCACAATCATTGTGTCCCTTAAAATAGGTATATATAAAACATTTATTTAAATATCTGTAATATTTTCTTTAAAAATGCACAATTAGATGTCTTATAAATTAATAAAAACCATTTTAAATGACTGAAAATGAAATGGTCTCAAAATACCTTAATAAATAAATAAACATGATTATTATACTAATAAATATAGATTGAACTTATTAAGAGAATGTGAACTTTTAGGTAGTATTTAGTCTATTTCATAGTTATTTTTAGGGTCACAGACTAAAATGTTCAGGAAACCCTACTTTGCATTTTTTGTTGTCAATACTCAATCTTTTTTTTTTTAGCATTGACATGAAATCACTTAAATATCCTCCTTATCATCCTTAAATATTGACACATTAGGCCTCAGTCTTTTTTAGTGGACTTCTCCTTATTTCACCAGACTGGATATGGTTCATACCATTTTATGGGCTTTTTGAAAGAGAAACAGGCCCATATCATTACAGATCCTCTGCTGTACTTAACAATGGGCCTGAGAGGTTTTTTTTTAACATTTTTGTTTTTTTATCTGTTCTGGAGAATGTGTCAAGAAATCCAAAGGGGTAAAATGACCAGTGTCTGAAAAGTTAACAGTTGAGATATTTTAGCTGCCGAACATCCATCCATTTATTTTCTCCCACTTACTCCTCTTCAGGGTCACAGTTTTCAGGGTGTCTCTCGCAGTACACCCTGAATATGTCGCCAATCTGCTGCAGGGAGAGACATAGACAAACATCCATGCATTCACCCATTAGGAGAATTTAGAGAGGCCAATTAACCTAACAGTCATGTTTTTGGACTGTGGGAGAAATCGTGGAGTACCCGGAGAGAACCCATGCATGCACAGGGAGAACATGCAAACTCAAGGCAGAAAGAGCCAGGGCTAGGAATCGAACCCAGAGCCTTCTTACTGCAAGGCAACAGTGCTACCCACTGCCACACTGTGAAGCCCAGCTGCCGTACAATTTGTGTTTTTGTTGAGGTAAAGCGGTGCAGATAACGTGCAGGTGTTTTAAGATTTTTTAAATGGAGTTATTTATAATGGAGGAACTGGTGCCTTATTAGCAGACAAGTTAAATAGATATGAATGAGATCATTAAGGCAGAGCTGGGTACCTGCATAGCCTCTGGGTAGAAACTGTAAAGGAGTTTAGTGTCGGTTTCAGGACCTTGTTGTGTCTCACTTTGAGGAACAGTTGGGACCCTTTAAGGCAGCAACATTGCATGCATAAAGTTCTCCTAACCTGAAATGGGATTTAGTTGGTTGATTTGCATATTTATAATTATATACTGGGAATGAATCAAGCCTCTATTCTGCCTGACGGAACCAGAGTTGATCACTGGCTCTGTTTTTGTGCCAACAGACAAACAGCCCTCATGCTGTTCCTGGATATTCATCTTCCTCTGTCAACCATGTTTTCTTCATCCTTGCTCCACCTCTTCCTCCCATAGCTCTGCTACACCTTTCCATCCTCACATGGTCCCAGTTGCCATGTTTTTTCCTTCCACTCTCTAACCCCCCCACCCACCAACATCAGCACACACACAACCAGCAAACTCCCTCATTTGACATTGATAAATGGAGACTCACAGAGATGACAGCATCATTACTCATGCTCAGTAGCGACACCACCTTGGACAGATAAAGAAAGAGGAAACGAGAGGAAGAGGAGGGATGAAGGCAGGATAAGAGGAAGATGGGGTGTGTTGTTGGTAGAAGAGAGGAGGTCCAGTCAGAGAGGCATGCTACAACTAGGAGTTAACACCCTGAAATCTGGAACAAGCAGTGTTCATCTGTTCATTGGTGATGTAAAAAAACATCTGTTGATCGCAATTGTCTTTTTGAATTACAAGCACTAGGATTTCTATTTTCTGGATGTTGCTGTATAACAGCCAGATTATGTGCTCTCTCAAAACATACATCTGAGATGATGGCACAAAAAAGGAGTAGCCTACACCATTTACCTGGGTAGTGTTAGTAAGGTATGTGTCAGGCTGACTTTTTGATCAAAATCCTAATGCTGGCAGTCCAAATGGTTCAGTGCTATGATTAAAAACAAAACCGTACAAACAGCTCAGACCAAAATAATTTAAACCCCAGGCAGCCTCAGGTTCATGGAATCTTTTAATTTAACAAACTTGTTATTTTTCACTGGATGTAATGTTGTAGATTGGACTGACCACCTTTCCG